TCTCTCTCTCTGTCTGCATATTTCTTACCCTTTGACTCTGACTCTGGGTCTCAGTTTCCCCATATGTCCATGGATATCCTAATTCTATCTTGTTCCTGGGTGATTGGGACCATCAGAGGAAGTGACAGGCAGGGAAGCAATTTGAGGACTGAGGGCTAACAGAGGCCGACTCTCAGCCCCTGCTGCAAACAGACAGTCTCTCTCCTCCCTCTCCACACACTCCCCCCCATCTGCCCCTCCCCTTCTCTCCTCCCCACCCCTGTTCCTGCCCCTTCGTTGGAGAGCAGCTCTGAGCCAGTACCACCAGGGGGCGATGTCTTCCCAGAAACCCAAGGCACCTTCCCACAAGCTGCTCCCTCCTTGAGCTTCACTGTAGCAGAATCAACCCCATGGCAGTTAGAATCCAGCCTTTCAGCAGGGGCCTTGGGCAAATTGCTCTGCCCTCTGAGCCCCCATCCACCCTCTTCTAAATTGGGAAAGATAATAGTATTAGCCAGGATTGTAGGGAATCTACTAGGCAATGCTTGTAAAACACCGCTTGGCTCTCAGTTGGGGGTCCTGTGTCCAAGGCAGCAGCACCACTATTGTTAATGCAGTGGCTGTGCAATGACAACCACTACTGATGGTCACAACAGTAATAACAGGCACCAGTGATTGAGGACCTGCTCTGTGCCAGGTTTGAAAACAAAATGTAAAAATAACAAGCTATGTCCAATGTTGCCTCAGGCAAGTTGCTTAAGTGCCCTGGGCCTCAGTTTTCCCATCTTTAAAATGGGGATCATATTAGCAGCTGCTTCCTAGGCTTGTTAAAATATTTAGTGAGTTTATGTGTGTGGAAGGCATGCACCTGTTACATGTGAGGTAATATACATAAAATGCTTAATAAACTGCTGGCCCGTAATAAGCTTGTTACGTGTCAATGCTATTATGTTTTATGAACTGGCGTCCACGACAGTGCAGATGCTTGTGTTCAGCCATAGGAACTTGGGCAGGGAAGGGAAGGATATTTGTGATTTTATTGTGACTTCCCCTCAGGGTACTGAGGTCTTCCCCCTCCTGGGCTCTGTCCTGCACGACCCCGAGGTCTTCGAGCAGCCAGAGGAGTTCAACCCAGGCCGATTCCTGGATGCAGATGGAAGGTTCAAGAAGCAGGAGGCATTCCTGCCTTTCTCCTTAGGTATTTGCTGGGCCGTCCCTGCCCACCCCTGGCTGGGGTGTGAGGAGGGCTGGCCCAGCACTATCTCCCTCTCCTCCAGGTAAGCGTGTCTGCCTCGGGGAGGGCCTGGTGCGAGCGGAGCTCTTCCTCCTTGTCACCGCCATCCTGCAGGCCTTCTCCCTGGAGAGCCCGTGCCCGCCGGCTGCCCTGAACCTCCAGCCAGCTGTCAGTGGCCTTTTCAATATCCCCCCAAACTTCCAGCTGCAAGTTCGGCCCCGCTGACCTCCACCCCACCCCATCACGTGGACCAAATAAAGGAGGGGGCTTTGGGAGGTGGTGTCCTCAACCTTGGGCATGGACATGGCTGTGTCCAAAGCCACAAGTCTACACCACAGGAAACCACATTCACACAGGGTCACACTCACAGAGCCACACTCACCGGCCCACGCAGCTGTTGAGACATACAACTGTTACATACCCATACACAACCACGAGGCAACTGGGCCACACAAACTTTCTAAAAACATGAGCTTAGTCTGTCTGGAATCACAACCATGTGTCCAGATAACCCACCAACTCCCCTGGACTCACAACACATGTGTGGGACTTCAGCTGCCACCAAAACAGCCACCCTATTCACAGCCCGCACGCCCTCATCACCCACCAAACTTAACTACCACCGTCTCTGGGAGCCTGGTGCAGAGAACATGCACCTTCCTGGGTCATGTCACCTCACAGAGAGGCTGTCCTCGGCCCTCGAGTGACCACACCACTATCCAGGCACGTGACCATCACCAGCCACGCTCCCCCGACCACTGAAACACAGCCAGCTCACACGCGGCCGCGTCCTAACTCCTAAATATCTTCCCACTGAGATAGAGTCACAGCCTGGCCTCCTCGCACCTTCGCCTTTGAGGACGTACCCCTTTCCGAGGATCCTGATCCCCAAATTCTCCCAAATATGGATATAACCCCCCATTGTGCGGTGGTGCACACAGGCCTGGTAACCGAGTAAACTAGGACACACAAGGACCCTCACACCAGAGGGAGCCCCACCCCAGCAAACACATACACACCCCCAGCTCATATACTGTGTTGAAAGCCTCCTGCCCCCTCAGCACACACTGACCCACCATCCCTACTCTAAGACCCAAGACGACTCAGGGGAAGGGGCCTAGACGACCAAGTAGGGGCCAGATTCCAACTCCCCATGTCAGGGAAGAGGCCAGGTCTGCTGGCCTTGTGACTGGAAGGTCCCTGTTTTGCAATAAAAGTTTGTTTCTGGCCTGCGGGCCAGCTCTGTGGCAGAACCTAGTGTGTGTGACAGTGTCTGAGATTGTGAGTAAGGGGTGGGGATGGGGGTGTCCACCCCTCCCTGGAGGCTGGGTGGGAGCTGAAAAACACACGGCCCCCGCCCACCCTGGCTGTTGACATCAGTACCAGATGTGGGGGGGAGGGGCCTGGCCTGGGCTCACTTCCGGTGGGACTGGGGGGGGCAGGGAGAAGGTAACCGCAGAGCAGCTGGCCTGGGGGGGGCTGGCCAGGGAAAGCCTGAAAGGGACCCATCCAAGCCCTGGGAACTCCCAGTCTGAAAGCAGAGGCTGAAACAAACCCTAACCCCACTCCACCCCTTTCTCAGCCTCTCCTCCTGCCTTCTCTAAGAAAAGAAACCAGAAGCATCGCTTTCTTCGTTAGTTAGAAGGAAGTTTTCAAACGCAAAAGCAGACTAGTTCAGTCCCTGGCCTCGTTTGATAACCACCCCTCCCTCCCTGCTAGTTTTACTTCATCTACTTTTCTGCTAGTTTTTGTGACAATTTTCAAAATTCCAAATGTGCAGCCACACTGAGGGAATTACTCGGGAACCCCCGTGTGCCACCGGCTTCAGTTCACTTCACATTTCTATCCACCTGTCCATCCGCCTCACTTTTCTAGGAGTTTCTCTAAGTTTACAGATGTCAGTTTATCTGGCCTTGAAGGCTTCGGCGATGCATGTATGCGTTTTTTTTGGGTTTTTTTGTGTTTTTTTTTTTAAAAATTGATTGTAGAGAGAAAGGAGAGACATCAATTTGTCCCACTTATTTATGCATCATTGATTGATTCTTGTATGTACCCTGACCAGGGATCGAACTCACAAACTTGGTGTATCAGGACAGCGCTCTAACCAACTGAGCTACCCAGCCAGGGCCTAAAGTTTTTAAAATTTTTCCATGTTACCACTTTATTTTTTGGCTTAAGTTCTATAGAGGTAGCCCAGAACAGTGATATAAGAAAGAACTGAAAGATGAGATTGGGATCAGATCCCAACTTCACCGCTTTCCAGCTGATCACAGCCTGACTGAGGATATAGCATCTTAAAGACACTAAATTTCAAAGAGGAAATGTGGAAAATTCTGGGACTTACTAGGAACAAAATATAAGCTAAGTTCTGGGATTTACTATCCTTGTTTTTTCATACATCAGTGTTGTGGACAAAAGAGGGGCCACATACTAAACCTGACAAGCTCAGAGGAGGCCTGCACGGCGAGCGGCCCTATAAACGCAGACGGAAAGTAAAAAGTCCTAACCAAAAGCGGGTCGTGGCCCGTTGTCCTGTGCTGGGCCTGTAGCTTCCTTGGCAAAGGTCAACCTTTACCTTCGTGAGCCTGTCTTTTTGCATCCGAGCTAAAGTACCTTCAGCCTCCTCCTCCGACCCTCAGGGCACAGCCATGCAGGGGTGGGGCTGCGGAGCCCTTGCTCCCTCGCCTGCCCAGCCGCAGGCCACCCCTCTGCCGCAGGCCACCCCTCTGCCGCAGGCTGCTCCTGGAAAAGTACTCTCCGCTTAGCTCTTCAGCCAATCCCAGAGGTTAGCTCCCCCCCGCCCCCCTCACCTCCCCCTTT